ACCCCCCCCGCCCCCGCCACCACCGTTGGACTTTCTGTCTCCATGAATTTAACTATTCGTCTAAGTACCTCATATAAATGGAATCTTACAGTATTTGTCCTTTTGTGACTGGCTTATTTCACTTACTATGTGTTTTCAAGGTTCATTCATGTGATAGCATGAATCAGAATTTGCTTCCTTTTTAAAGCCGAGTAAAATGCGATGTGTGTGTATTCCACATTCTGTTTATCCATTTATCCATGAGTGGACACTGGGGTTGCTTCCACGGCCTGATTATTGTGAATCATGCTGCTACGAATGTGGATGCACGAATACTTGTTCGCGGCCACATTGCCAAATTTGTGTCCCAAAGGGTCGTGCCAATTTACTTTCTCCCATTAGCGTGGGAGACGCTTTTCTAGCCAATATGGATGTTATCATTAAAAAAGAAGAGAGAGAGAGAAATCCATGCCAGTGAGACAAGGTGCTACTTTGTGTTCCGTATTAATGATGCTGAATACTTTTCCTTTGTTCATTACCCCCTTGGATTTTTTTTCTGTGAATTACTGTTTACCCTGGACTGCTCCAAGTTAGGCCAGTCAGACAGACTTTGATTTCTTCCCTGGCTTTTGAGACAAACCAGAGCGTGAGGAAAAGAAGTTCATTTTTGACTCCAAATTTCCTAGATGCTCGCGTAGCACAGAGCCTTAAAACTCCAAACGATATCCTCTTTTGAGCTATATGTCTCTACTTCTCTGTACGTGTTACATCATCTCCTCTTTTGGAGGTGGCTGGTTAGGTGTTGGAAATGTCATTTCAGGGAGAGTTGGGGAAGGGAGTGATCCTGAGGGTTTGGCACAACTTTCAAGGTTATCTGGGCTTTTCTGAGTCGGTGCTTTACAGGCTCACATAGGAAAACAGACCTCAAAGCTCCACCTCCCATTTATTAGCTGTGTGACCTTGGGCAAGTCACTTACCTTCTCTGAGTCCTAGTTTCCTTACCTTAAAATAACTTAGATTAATGAGTAGTTGCTAACCTTCTCTTGTCTCTTATTTACCTCCCTCTTCTGTCCGCACTGGACACCCACTTTTTAAAGATAGTGATCTTTAGCATTTATTAATTGACCTTTTGGGCACCCTTGTCACATGGGTTATTTCTGCTGGGCTTTGTGAAATACTGGAAAGAGTCCAAGAACCCCACACTTACCACCATCAGAGGCCCGCAGGTGTTTGGGGATCCGTGCGGTTGAAAGCTACTGAAGAAGAACTGACCTGATCTGTCCAGTTTGCAATCATTTTTGTAGCTGGTGTCGAATTGTGTATTTACCAGAATCTGGGAGGTAGGCAGGGCAGCTGTCATTTCTAGTCTCAGAAAGCAGAGATTCTTAGAGGCTCGGGGACTTGCTCGAGGTCCCACAAAACGGTGACGTTGAGACCAGGGACTGGCCCCTAGCCGGCGTCCCGATCCTGGACAGGCAGGCTGCCCTTAGAGACTTTTCAGCACGTGCCACAAGCTTGTGGACCTCTGACCTGCCACGCCTGCCCGGCACCGTGCCTGGCCCCGGCAGGCACTCAGCCACGAGTGGCCCGTGCATTCTCACCTGTCCCCCTCGCCCCCCAGGTACGTGGTCATCTCCCGGGAGGAGAGGGAGCAGAACCTGCTGGCGTTCCAGCACAACGAGCGCATCTACTTCCGGGCGTGCAGGGACATCCGGCCCGGGGAGCGGCTCCGGGTCTGGTACAGCGAGGACTACATGAAGCGTCTACACAGCATGTCGCAGGAAACCATCCACCGCAATCTGGCCAGAGGTGAGTGCCCACCCCAGGCGAGGGCCACGCCCGCCACCCCACGCAGGGGAAGCCAGAGCTGCTTCTCTAGGAGCTTCCTAAGAAATCCGATGGGAAATGCAGTCTACCAGCAACGGGGAGACCCAGAGGGACTCGGGGGGGCGGGGGAAGGGGGATGGGCAGCCGGTCTGGGTGTGAGCGGCAGCTCGGGGCAGGGCGGCAGGAACTCCCGCGTGTTCTCCTCCCCCAGAAACCCTGTTACAGACATTTGAGAGTGTCGAGAGACACAAGGCCCCAGAGCCAAGCACATGCGTTTCATCAAAATGGATCCTCTTTCCCCAAGTCCAACTGATGGAAAAGATGCTAGAAGGTGCCACTGGCTCAGTAGTAGCTAATGCTGACTAAGTAAGTCACACGCGCAAAGCAGCCATTCTATAGCGTTCACGTGCTTATCACGACAGGAGCGCCTGCCTGGTGAGCGAGCTGGGAGAGTTAGGTGGGTACTACCCAGAACACACCGAGAACAATGCCCACCTTGACCGCTGTGAGCCCTCAACTGTAAGCTCTTAATTCTAACGATCCCGTATGAGCTGTGATCCCCATCTCACAACTGTAGAAACTGAGCATCAGACAGATACAGTGACTCCCCAGGGTCACATGGCTAGGAAGGGCAGCGCTGGGTTTCTCATACACATCGGTCTCAGTGCAGGGTCTGGCCTCTAACTGAAAGTGTTACACGGCCTCCCTGACAAAACTAGTTTCTTCCCTGCTTCCTCCTGGTCTCCTTCTTGGAAGTCCCAATCCCAGGCTCTGCACGAACAGTCTCTATTAGAAGAAGAAGGTTGGAGGGAGGTGGGAAGGGGACCTTAGGTGTGGGTGATGGCCTGGTGGGTGAGATGTCCATCCAGGCTCCATTTAAGTGAGTCCTTGGAAAGTGGCTTAAAATACTCCCCAGCCCCTAGCCCTTTGCCTCAACCCCATCCTCAGTCTGGCCAAGGCAAACTGGCCCGTCCGGCTCCTTCTTTCCAGAGGACCTCCCTTGCACTAAAAATGCACATTCAAATACCCAGAGTCCACGTGGTTCCAAGAACCAGGGCTATACCCAAGCCCCACCATATCACATTCCCGACCAAACTACTTCTTGGAAATAAATCTTCATGTGGAGTATGAGCGGAGATGATGAAGAGGGGGTGGGGTGGCCCATTGCAATTAAGCTATTTTGAAAAACAAAACAGAATAAAGCAGATTGTGGACATGAATGCACGGCTGCTGCCTGACTTGGTAAAAGGTATCTGTGATTGGATGGGCAATGAGGAGACCCAGTAGACGTACTCATCTCTTGTCTCCTTCTGATGTGGGGGTTGGGTACAGGCCGATTTCTCTCGGGAAGGCATGTTCCTATGATGAGATTGCCACGGTTTCCATTTGACCTCCGAAGATGCCTTATGTAAGCATGTCTGGTACCTAGTAGGAGCTCAATAAATCTTTGTCAAATGGATAAAAGAAGAAATGAATGAAGACAACCAAAAAGTCTCCACAAGAACCATATCACCAGAAGAAAAGAAAACCAAGCAAAGTCATATCTGAGGACACAGGTTCCGTCCCTTGGCCATAATCGTCTTGAATTTTGGATTTGTAATGTCCTTTCCCCCCCAGGTGTCTTCTCCAAAGCACCTCAAGCTGCAATCATCCTGAGAGAGCCCTGAGACCCAAGGGGAATGCTCAGAGAAGGGAGTGAGCTTTCAGGAGTGGTTCAAAGGAGGCATGGCAGAGAGATTTGAAATGAGATCTACGAAGACTTGTGAAGATACAGGAGGAAGGAGGGTCTGTTCCTGGCCAGGCTGAGCAGTAGGAAACAGGAAGGAGACCAAAAGGCACCGTGTGGGGCAGGGCCAGAGCAGTGGGGGGGGGAGGCGGGGTGTTGGTCCTAAAGCCCTTGGGAGCAGTGGTGAGCTCAGTGGCCTTTGGGTGTGGAGATGTCTCTGTAGCCTGTAGCTTTGGCAGACTCTGCATAGTTGGTAGAGGCTTAGATTGGTGTGCCAGCCCCGCTCTGGAAAGGGGATCCCTACCCTCAGTCACTGAAGGTCTTGTGTGGAAGGTGGTTTCTTCTAATTGGAGGCTGGAGCCCTGAGAAAGGCCAGAGCATGAATTATTAGTTCTTCTTAAGTAGGGACATTACTCGGAGCCCAGAACTGCTTCCTGAAGACAGTGTAAATTATGCCTTTGTGGTTATCTTGTAAGAACAGGATGCATCTAATACAGTGTATTCAAAAAATTTATGTTAGTTGATCTACTTTGAGTCACTGATTCACTTTATGGTGTTTTCTCCATATTTTATGGAGGCTTTGAAATCAGTTTCATGGTGCTTAAAGGTCTTTTTCGGCCCTTAGGAAGCCTTGAGTCCCAAGAAGTGTCCTACACATCCTAGGAAATCTGAATGACCTTGTCTTTGAGCAGAGAGGCGTGAGGACTCCCTGGTGATGTGTAGCCCTGACCTCTCAACATCCTCAGCTCATTGCTGCCTGATTGGTCCATGAGACGTGAAAGGGTGGCCCTTGATGTTTGGAGATTCTAAATGGGCAAGTGTCACAGCTGCTCCGTAATACAAATATGTTGCATTTTTTACAAGCGTTCATCTCCACCCTTTCTGCCCCTCAGGTGTTATAGAACCGTAGGCTGTGAGAGCCACCTGACTTTCAGGGGCCGTGAACGTGAGGTTGCTCCTCAGGCATTCATGTGAGGACAGAAGAGGGGCGTCTTGAATAGGTTACCCCCATTTGTGCTCTTACCTGTAGGAAACCCGGATTCCTACGTGGCCCAGGGCACGGTACCCCTCGCCAGCTGTGGGAAGCCAGGGCTCTGTCACAGCCTGGAACATCTGGATCGCTCACAGAGATCCCTTGGCCTCCACTCAGTGGTTTTTTTAGCAAACCCAGCTTTTGGAAGCTTAACTGCAATGTTTAATTGGGCCGAGTCATTGCCCAGAGTCATTTCCCAGGGCCCTGCCCTGATCTAGGAAGCCTTTGAGATTTCCCAGCCCCACGGGCTGCCGTCAGGACCTTCTGAGGGTCCCCCTTTAGCATCTGCACCCCCAGGGAGCACACTTCTATAGCCATTTATGAAACTGTGTCGGCTGTTTTAAAGAATCAGGCTAAAATTACTGTTGGGAGCTCACCAACGTCTTTGAAGTCAGTCACGTGATGGAAAGAGATAGAAAAGGGAACATCCTTTGAAGGATCAGGTAAGGAGACACGGCTGTCTTTCAAGAATGCTTTGGGTCAGTGTGGTCACGCCGCTCTTGATCTTGTTGGAGGCTGCTCCCCAGGAGCCCTCAGCCACCGGAGGGGCCCCGTCTTCCCTTTCCTTCCTGCCTCGGTTGTCAGGGAGAACCACAGACATTCAGGTCACTTCCTTTCCCGTGCACCTCATCCTCCGAAATCCTGGGAGAGTTAGAAAGGACGGTTGCTGCGGGTCAGACTTGGCCCCACGGGGCCGTCTGGAAGCAGTCAGGGAGCAGGAAGGAGCGGACGCGGTGTTTCCTGTGTACCTTTTACCAAGTCGAAGCAGCCATCTCTCAATTGCCAGGACCGGACAAGAAGCCTGGAGGGCGGGGGTCCCCCGCGCGGAGTTGTGAGGCACGCTCCCACCTGCCCAGTCTGATTGGTGGGGTGTCAGCTTCTAGGGTGACCGCACTTCCAACTGCCCTCCCCTCCAGCATTCCCTCAGCCTATAAATGTGCAGCTTATAGACATGAGGCTCCCTTGAAACGGTCTTTTTCAAGAATTCTTCCCACTTTTTTGGGTCCCACTCTAGACCCCGGGATCCACGGAGTGACCCGCCTCTCCCTTTCTGTCACACCTGCCCCCACAGGGCCAGCCCCAGAGGGATGTGTCCAGTGACTTCCTAGCAGGAGGCCTGCTTTGTTTTCTGTCGGTTTCTCCCACGTCGGGGCTTTTCCCCACGTCCTCACACCCTGGTTTTCCTTCCTAGGAGAGAAGAGGTTGCAGAGGGAGAAGTCTGAGCAGGCTCTGGATAACCCAGAAGACCTGAGGGGTCCCCTTCAGCTCCCCGTGTTGAGACAGGGCAAAAGTCCATACAAGCGTGGCTTTGACGAGGGGGACGCGCACCCCCAGGCCAAGAAGAAGAAGATTGACCTCATTTTCAAGGATGTGTTGGAGGCTTCACTGGAATCCGCAAAGGTGGAAGCGCATCAGCTGGCCTTGAGCACCTCGCTGGTCATCAGGAAGGTCCCCAAGTACCAGGATGACGCCTTCAGTCGGTGTGCAATGAGCATGTCGCATGGCGTGCAGAATGTCAGCCGGACCCAGGGGGAAGGGGACTGGAAGATCCCCCAGGGGGCTTCCAAGGAGCCCAGGGGGCTTCCGTTGGAGGATGAAGAAGAAGAGCCTTCGTCCTTCAAGGCCGACAGTCCCGCCGAGGCCTCCCTTGCGTCCGACCCTCACGAGCTTCCCACCACCTCCTTTTGCCCTAATTGTATTCGCCTAAAGAAGAAGGTCCGGGAACTCCAGGCCGAACTAGACATGCTTAAGTCTGGGAAGCTTCCCGAACCTCCCGTATTGCCAGCTCAGGTACTGGAGCTCCCAGAGTTCTCGGACCCCGCAGGTAAGTCGGTGTGGATGAGATGGTGGTCGGAGGGAAGAGCACCCCGTGGGCAGTGTGAGGGTGGCCTGGCGCTCTCTGTGGGAGCCACCTTCGGGGAGACCCACGCCCGCAGGTGCCTGCTCGGACAGGCTGCTCCGCGGCGCCAGTGGGATGCTTCATGTCTCGCCCTTGTATCCTCCTCGTCAATAAAGGAAGTTCCACTGCAGGAGGGGTGTGTGCTGTGTTCTTGACCCGTTGCCTTTCTCTGGCGGTCCTGGTGGTGCCTCAGCCCCACGCTCAACTTCTAAACCCAGTCTTTGTCTCTTCCCCAGTCCCAAGCAGGGCAGCTCGTCGGGGAGAGCTCCCGGCCTTCTCGAACTCAGTCCCGGGACACGGCCTCGTTCTTCTCCTCCCGAGCTGCTGTTCTGCCACACACGGTCCTGTCCCCCCTGCCTGGAATTGTAGAAGGCCTGGGATACGGGACATGTGGCTGCACGCCTTGGCCCTTTTCTGTTGGCTGCCTGGATCTTTTAGAACCGGTCGACAACCAGGAAGGTTTTTTCAGTACACAGCTGCAGCTGAGTCCGAGTATTTACATAGCATTTCCTATTTTAACCACATCCCTTAGCTCAGAATGAGGTGTTTCAGATATTCAAAGCATGCGTCCTAACTCAACTGCATTCTGATCCTGAAATAAGCTGGGGCCGTGGCAAGCTGCCTGCACGCCTGCCCTGAGCACGTTAGCGCCGAGAGAACCGAGCCCCGCGCCCTGGCTGTGTGACTTGGGCAGGCTGGGCGAGCTGTGTTCTCTCCCGCAGACCCGTTCCTGCGGCCCCGGCCCTGCTTCTCCGTTGGTAGGGAAGGTTGGGCTCCTTGAGCGCCCACTAGCGGAGGGTGAAGGCGGGCAGCCTGGAGCAGGGCGGCCACCAGGCGCAATCCCCAGAGAGGAACCGTCACCCGTGGATAACCAGAGTGCTCATATATATATTAAAGGAAAAAAAAAAAGAAAGGAAAAAGAATTCTAGGCTGGGATTCAGTCCGTCCTCGGAACTGGCCTGTTGCACACGGTGTGGCACCGACCTCTCGGGCCGTGTTCCCGTTCATTCTGGAAGAGCCTGCGTTCTTTTGCCGCCGGGGCTTAAATGTCTCCTTCCCATTTGTCTTCCAGCCTCCGAGAGCATGGTCTCCGGCCCCGCCATCATGGAGGACGACGACCAGGAGGTCGACTCTGCCGACGAGTCCGTCTCCAACGACATGACGACCGCCACCGACGAGCCCTCCAAGATGTCCTCCGCCACCGGGCGCCGCATCCGGCGCTTCAAGCAGGAGTGGCTGAAGAAGTTCTGGTTCCTGCGGTACTCCCCGACGCTCAACGAGATGTGGTGTCATGTCTGCCGACAGTACACCGTGCAGTCCTCCCGCACGTCGGCCTTCATCATCGGCTCCAAGCAGTTCAAGATCCACACCATCAAACTGCACAGCCAGAGCAACCTGCACAAGAAGTGCCTGCAGCTGTACAAGCTCCGCATGCACCCCGAGAAGACGGAGGAGATGTGCCGCAACATGACCCTGCTCTTCAACACCGCCTACCACCTGGCCCTCGAGGGCCGGCCCTACCTGGACTTCCGGCCCCTGGCCGAGCTCCTGCGCAAGTGCGAGCTCAAGGTGGTGGACCAGTACATGAACGAGGGCGACTGCCAGATCCTCATTCACCACATCGCCCGCGCGCTGCGGGAGGACCTGGTGGAGCGCATCCGCCAGTCGCCCTGCCTCAGCATCATCCTGGACGGGCAGAGCGACGACCTGCTGGCCGACACGGTGGCCGTCTACGTCCAGTACACCAGCAGCGACGGGCCCCCGGCCACCGAGTTCCTGTCCCTGCAGGAACTGGGCTTCTCCAGCACGGAGAGCTACCTGCAGGCGCTCGACCGGGCCTTTTCGGCCTTGGGCATCCGGCTGCAGGACGAGAAGCCCACCGTCGGCCTGGGCATCGACGGGGCCAACGTCACGGCCAGCCTGCGCGCCAGCATGTTCATGACGATCCGCAAGACACTGCCCTGGTTGCTGTGCCTGCCCTTCATGGTGCACCGGCCCCACCTGGAGGTCCTGGACGCCATCAGCGGGAAGGAGCTCCCGTGCCTGGAGGAGCTAGAGAACAATCTGAAGCAGCTGCTGAGCTTCTACCGGTACTCGCCGCGCCTCATGTGCGAGCTCCGGTCCACGGCGTCGACCCTGTGCGAGGAGACGGAGTTCTTGGGGGACATCCGCGCCGTGAGGTGGATCATCGGGGAGCAGAACGTCCTCAACGCCCTCATTAAAGACTACCTGGAGGTGGTGGCCCACCTCAAGGACGTCAGCAGCCAGACCCAGCGGGCCGACGCGTCCGCCATTGCGCTGGCCCTGCTGCAGTTCCTCATGGACTACCAGTCCGTCAAGCTCATCTACTTCCTCCTGGACGTGATCGCCGTGCTCTCGCGCCTGGCCTACGTCTTCCAGGGCGAGTACCTCCTGGTGTCCCAGGTGGACGACAAGATCGAGGAGGCCATCCAGGAGATCAGCCGGCTGGCCGACTCCCCAGGGGAGTACCTGCAGGAGTTCGAGGAGAACTTTCGAGAGAGCTTCAACGGGATTGCAGTGAAGAACCTCAGGGTGGCCGAGGCCAAGTTCCAGTCCGTCAGGGAGAAGATCTGCCAGAAGACCCAGGTGATCCTGGCTCAGAGGTTCGATTCCCGAAGCCGGATCTTCGTGAAGGCCTGCCAGGTGTTCGACCTGGCCGCCTGGCCCAGGAACAGCGAGGAGCTCCTGAGCTACGGCAAGGAGGACATGGTGCAGATATTTGATCACCTGGAGGCCATCCCGACCTTCTCCCGGGATGTCTGCCGGGAGGGGCTGGACCCCCGGGGCAGCCTGTTGATGGAGTGGCGGGAACTCAAGGCGGATTACTACACCAAAAATGGCTTCAAAGACCTGATCGGCCACATCTGCAAGTACAAACAGCGCTTCCCGCTCTTGAACAAGATCATCCAGGTCCTCAAAGTCCTCCCCACGTCCACCGCGTGCTGCGAGAAAGGCCGCAATGCCCTGCAGCGAGTTCGCAAAAACCACCGCTCCCGCCTGACCCTGGAGCAGCTCAGCGACCTGTTGACCATCGCTGTGAACGGCCCGCCGATCACCAACTTCGATGCCAAGCGAGCCCTGGACAGCTGGTTTGAGGAGAAGTCGGGCAACAGTTACGCGCTCTCCGCCGAGGTCCTCAGCAGGATGTCGGCGCTGGAACAGAAACCCGTGTTGCAGACCGTGGACCCCGGGTCTGAGTTTTACCCGGACATCTAGGGGGCCGGCGGCGTCCCAGAGTTCACTAAGCTGTTGAATATTTTTTTAATCTATACTCATAAGCTTTGATATATTATATAAATATATATTATATTATATATATATATATATATATATATAAGCCCACACTGAAAATTTTTAAAAACCAAGGTGACGTGTCCACCAGAAGCCACTGGGAGCTTTCACAAAGGAATGATGTTGGAAACGGACTCTTGTCTACAAGATCTAGCAGCTGCAACCTCCGTGGCCATCCTTTTCCCTCACGGAAGCACGTGCTGGGGCCACATGCGTTCCCACCTAACAGTCAACCAACAGCCTAAGCTAAAATGACGGGTCTTTGTCATCACCTCTAGGTGGTTTGTTGTATGTTTTTGCTTGGGGGTTGAGGGGTTTGGGTTTGGGTTTACGTTCTTGCCTTTCCTTTTCTCGTGTGGTCTGCGATGGGGTTCTCAGCCCCTTCGTGGACACGCTGGTGGAGCTGAACCCCATCTCCGATCTGGGATGGGGTGGGTGGTGTATCTGGATTGGCGTGTGTGACTCTTTCCCTCTCCCACCTGATTTCAGCTTGAGAGGTTTGTATGCATTTCCTGATGAGCGTTCCTTCACTGTCTTAGAAACTAACATGTCGGTCAAACTGTGACACCCACCACTTCCCCACCTCTGTCGCCTCTCCCGTCCCTGGGTTATGGATTCCTTCCTTCCGGCCCCCTGGATCCTAAAGATCTTACCTGTTATACTGATGGCAAAATTGCCTTACCACCGAGCTTGAAATCCTGGGGAAGGGACAAGGTGTGTGTGTAAGAGGGGTGGGGGGGGGGATTTTTTGCATTCCTGTTCTTAACATAGCGTGGGGTAAAATAATATAATTCCAGTCAGATCCAGGACTGGGGGGAGGGGGGGTGGGGAATGAAGAGCCAAGAAATCCAGACCCTAACAGGGCAGCGATTTTTGGCTAAAAACAAGTAAAATGAAAGGTATGTATTCCATTTACATGAATTATTTATGCTCTGTCTTTATAATCACATAATGTGTTGTTGTTCCTTTAATAATCAAATGCCTGCTCTAGTTCAGTGGCAGGAGATGTCAATGCAAATTGTGCCCTGGGTTATGCGTGACTCGAAGGAGGGTCTCTAGAGCTTGAGGCCTTCTTTTGCGACAAGGCTGGTACCAAACGCTTCAGCCTGGCAGGAGGCAGTGGGCAACCAGGCGTTGTATCTGTGCTGGTGAATGCTTCCTTTTCTTTGAACAGGGTAGAGATGTCCTAAAGAAAAAGGAATAAAAAAGAGGCCAGACAGGACTCTCAAGGCATCTGCCTACACGCACACACACCTACCCACACACACAACCACGATATAAGCTTTAGAAATAGCCACTCGCCTACTCCCTGGGGCAAATAGTGGTTTAAGCTAGAGGAGTCTGATCAATGCTCTTTTGTTCATTTAACTACCAGTATACCTCGCAAGGGAGTTTTTAAAAAAAAAAAAAAAAAAAAAATGTGCGTGAGCTGTTAAAAACTTCTGTTCATGTTTCCCCATCTGATTTATGCATATTGGATGTGCAGGGACCCTGTATTGTGGATGCAGGTCCGATGTGGGGGAGGGAGGAAGAGCTGCAGTGTCCATGGTCAGTTCTGCTGGGAGCCACCCCTCTCCCTTGGCAGAGGGTGGGCAAAGGACGGTGTGATCCGGCCACAGGCAAGGCCCCCGTGACCCCAACCTGCCTGGCTCAGACATAATACTGTGGTGGCTTCCTTCCTTCTTGGTTTATCTTGTCTCTGAGGCCTCATGCCACTGTCGAGAACCATAGTGGAAATGTCATCAACACTGAACATGTCACTACCCCTTCCTCGTCCTGCCAGTCCCCTCACCCCCCACACATCCCTTCCTCCCACCCCTATGGTCTTGGTGCTAAGATAACTTTAGAATCATTGCTGCTAGCCGATAGCTTTTCATTATATAAATATATTATATATATATTATATATTATTTTTGAAACTTTTTTGTTCGTTTTCAACAGTGATGTAGCATGTTAAAAAACAAGAAACAAACAAACAAAAAACTGGTTTTCTCCGACTGTCCCACTGCCAGGCCTCATATGCTGCCTTCTTCAACAAATCAATGCACCCCCCGCCTGGTGACATTCACCCCCCAGCCGCCTCCCCAGTCCCACATACTTCCCCACCCTCCTCTGAACAAGGAGAGAGCAGGAACTAGCGAGGAAGTGTCCAAAGCTCTTTCTGAGGCTTTGAGCCAATTCCCAGCCTTGTACCGTGTCCCTACTTTAAGCTGATGAGCCCCCCCCACCAACTAAGCCCCCCAACCTACCCCCCTGCTTTTCCCGTCCCGGTCAGTAATTGTGGTCAAGTGGGATACTGTTGCAAAGCACAAGGTTTCACCTTTCCCTCCCTGATATCCTCTCCACCACATACATAAACTATCACGTCTGTGGGAGTTCGAACATCGCACAGACTAAGTAAGATGGGTTGAGGGCAGAGATGGCTGGCAAGGGGGCCTTGGTGGGGGCCAGAAACAGTAGGTCGGGATCCTTTCTTCTAGCCACCAGATGCCTTACACCTTCTCCTTTTCCCTCTGCCCCCCTCCACCCACTACATTGGAGCCATCCCCTGGGTCACTCATTTGAAAACCAGGAAGAGAGAATGATTGATGTCTGCCTGAGCACAAGTCAGGGCTGTGGCTGTTTCAAGAGGGCCGTGGCCAAAATGAGCTCAAATTTTTATCCACGGGGAGAAATAAATCCTTTGGGCCTACGCCAACATCTACCCTGTGTCTCCCGAGAGAGCAGGGAGCTGGTGAGCTGCCTCTGGGCTAGAAGCACGAGCTGCTGCTAACAGCGTGGGACTGCAGGTATCCGTGCGTCAGGCAGGGCGAGCTCTCCTGGGGGTCTCGAAGTTTGGCAAGGCGCTCTAAAACTCTGGGTGCTCACGACCTCTGTTGAATCCAGCCAAGCCTGGGCTGTGTCAGGCACTCTGAAGGTCACTTTGCCTTGGGACAGGGAGTAACCAGGGAACAATTTGGGTGACACACCACTGCAATTGACACAGGGTCTTTTTCAAGCTGGATGCTCCCAGGAGGCTCAGTGCTTCCATCCTGTGAATGCTGCATGTGATTTCTATCCTAGGAGTTTCCACTCTTCTGCCTCCTTGGGAAAGACTCTTGGGCTAATGGGACCCACAGGGCCTAGCCTAGGGAACCAAATGCTTACCTAGCCTGTTCTCCCTTTGATGGGCGTAAAAAGCTGTGGCCGGGCCGTCCTGGCATCTCGAACGTGGTCACTTCAGATGCAGTCGAGCCCTTTAGCTCAGCCACTGGCTTTGAAGGACATGTTTGTCTCTGGGGTTGAGACTCGTCCTAGTTGGGCTGGCTGACTAGCGACTTTCTTTGGCTCGTAGAGGGGGGTGGGAAGTGAGTTCAGGTTCATGGCCATTTAGATCAAGCAGATACGTTGCCGAGCCCGGGAGCCCCAAGCCCTTGTGATGAAAATGGTTTGCTTCTCCTCTGTGGAGGAAAAAGACACCCATGGCCATCCAGTATCTGTGAACCCTGAGGACAGCTGAGCCCTGTCTGCAACTCTTGCCATGTAGAATGCCCTCATTTTGCCTGCCTGGTTGAAGGTGAGAGTCTAGGCATCCAAAACACCTGCTTTTTCTTTTTCTTTTTCTTTTTTTTTTTCACATCTTGTAATGTAGGGCAGATCCTTTACTTTCTCATCCTCACTGGAGAAGGAGAGCAGGCTCGAGCTCCAAGGCATCTGCACGGCCGGCTTCGGTGCTGGGTCCTGAGTCTAGGGTATTCGGTGGTCTCGCCCCAGCCCCCGCTACAGGTTTCCACGTTGAGTTGTCTTGCTGAGCCCCCTCTCCTTGACTTGCTTATGTCAACCCTGTCATTTGGAGGAAGGACCTTATAATTATTTAAGGTCATGTTTAAATATTTTCCCTTTGTTTGGACGTGATACCAAGAAGGAGAAAAGAGGGAAAAGCGTGTTGGATGCCAAAAATGATCGTGGCGACGCAGAAATGGACTACAGGCTTGGCCCAGCCGGGCTGTGGGGCTGCTGGTCACCTGGAGCCCCGCGGGGTCCAGGAGGCGGCCTGGAAGTTGAAGTAGAACTTCTAGATTCCTCCCCCTGCCTGCCCCCCCCCCCCGCCCTTCCAGGAACAGGAATTCTGGATCTGGATCTGGTTTTGGCACGTCGTCTGGGTTGATTTCCAAGTAGAATTCGTGCTTTTTCTAGGTCCCACACCCAGTTTGTGGTGAGGGCTCCAGTTACACTGGACCTCATGCGCCTTTGCCCCTTCAAGAGGCTGTCCTAGCCAGGCCAGCCTGGGGCAGACCACGCAGGGAGGCCAGGCCTCCTTAGGCGGGAGTGACGTGTTTGGAGGGCAGGTGACCTTGGGACGGTCCCATTCCAGACACCAGCCTCCTGGGGGAGGTGGTGCTGGGTCATGGGTTCTGGTCCGGTTTCCTCCTCACATCTTGAGGAGGGAGGATTTTGCCCAGAGACACACGGCCCTTCTTCTGCTTGGAGGGAGACCCCTCTCATGCTCTCTGTTCACAGGGTCCTTTAGCTGAGTGGATGGAGCTGTGATATTTTAAGGAGCCTCTGAGGTGATCCTTGTGCATTAGCCAGAGGGAGAAAAAGTGCCCTTTGGGGAGGAAAATGGTACGGCCCTCCTCTTCCATCTGGCTTTCCCTCCCCCCACCCCCATCCCCTGAAGTGGTGTTTTCTGGAAATACCTATGCAATCCAGTCTCCCTAGGAGAGCGAGCGCATGGAAGCAGGGGTATGTGCAGTGTATAATACAAATACCACAGCATATATATTGTATATATGGACAAATACAGTCCGGATACACACAGAGTAAGAGATTAAATCACGTCTATATATCTATAAATAATATCCTATATATTTATACATTTCTATGTTTTAAATAGATATAAAAATAGAGTCTATAGAGAGCTGGGAGAGCAACGGGAAAGCCTGTCGCCGTGCCGTGCGGGGGTTGCTGCGGAAGGCAGGCAG